CTCCTTTCCTGCCTGCCTGTGAAGCAGTGTGATGTGTCAGGCTTCTGCTTCCTGGGTGTGGGCCGGAGAGCAGTAGGTGAAAGGATGACATCAGCCTCCTCTGCACCTGAACCCTGCCTCTCAACCAAAACGTTCTCTGGGGACTCTTGGGCATGCTGGCCTGCAAAGAGGCCTCACCACCACATGTCTCCCCACTCCGCTCCTCTCCAGTCTTCTCCTTAGCCCACTGGCTGGGAAGGGAGTGCCAGAAGGGAATATGGCTGAGCCCTGGGAATTCCCAGGTTCTTGAGAAGGTTTTGGGTGAGTGTCCTTGTGGGACCGTCCTCTGTGAAGTGGGGGATGCTCACTGCTGCCTCAGTGGCAAGATGAGAGCCAAGAAGACAACACTGGGCTGCTCAGGTTTTGAGAAGTGTGATTTTTTCCGTTGGAGGTGGGGGTGCAGGTCAGCTTGGGGACGTGGTGCTGAAGCACAGTAGGGAGGAGACGGATGTGGGACTTGGTCCAGTCAGCTGTGCCCGGAATCCAAGGGCTTGCTGCAGCCTGCCTGCCTCGGGGCCTGGGGGTATTCAGGGTAGGTAATTGAGAGGTGGGGCCTATAACCTAGGCAGGTATGGGTGGAGGAAGGGTTTATTTATTTTATTGCTAAAGATTTATTTATGCATACAAGAGCTGGGGTACAGGCCAGAGATGTGGGGGTGGGATGGGTGGTGAGAGGATTCACCAGAGACAGAGTGGGGAACAGAACAGGCAGACTGACTGAAATACACTATTGAGGGGAGCAGCAGGCGAGGCAGGAGAGGTCTGCTTCACTATGTGGGTTGCTCTCTGGCCGGCCTGGGGGCCTGGGATTGAACTTGTGCTGCAGAGGCTGTGAATTGCTTTATAGTGCTGTGCTTAACCCCTTGCGCCACCAGGGAGGCCCGAAAGGGTTTAAATTTTATATTTAAATTTAGAGAAAGTTAAAATCTAGATATTAGATAAAATATCTAGATATTAGATAAAATTAGCAATTTAATTTTTAAAATTTAAATTCTAAGGTTGAAATTTAGAAAGTTTAGAGAAACTTATCTCTCTTTTTCTTCGTCTGCCCCCTAGACCCTTAAAGTTGTATGTCTGAACTTCTTGGGCCCTTCAAAAGGAAAGGATGTAAGGGACATTGTCAATGAGGGCTTCATGGGGTAGAATGTGAGAGACAGTTTCCTAAAAGGCCAGTTCACTGATTGAAGATTGACTGGTGCGATTCATGCTGAAACTAGAAGAGGTCGACAGTTGTGCATTGCTTAGGGGAACAGGGGAACTGGGCATAGTAGGATGAAATCCATTTGGACTGTGGATTTCACTGCTGTCTGCCTGTCACCCCTTTTCTGGGATCCTGCTTTCCTAGCAGACAGTGTTTTCCAAGGTGGGGGTGAAAACTTGGATTCTAATCTTGGCTTTGGGGTGAAGCTCGGTGTGGAGAAAGTTGCTTCTGCACAGGGGCATGAGGGCAGGCCCTTAGCTGTCTCTGTGGGAGTCTAAACTCCACACGCAGTAATGGTAGGGAGCAGTCTTTGAGAACCTCAAATTGAGTATGGTGTCTCCGCTCTCACTGTCCAATGATGTCCACTAATAGTGCCCATTAGTACTCTGCCTTGTTTACTCTTTTGTGACCTGTGACCCTCTGACCTGGCATCTGTGTTTTACCATGTTGTTCCAATAAGAGAATGAATAGCCAGAGGTCACACAGTAGCATGCCTAGAAATAGCCATAAGGGATCTTAATTTTAATTCTCAGTGTTCCCTCCCTCCTGCCCCCCAACATTGGAGTGGAGAGTAAGTGAAGTGCCATGTTAAAAGTCCTGATCTTTGCAGTTTTAATGTCTAACACACAGCTTATGCTAAGGCAAAGCCAGGACCTCCAGTGCTGTGACTAATCCTCAGACTGTGGCCTCAGCTGGTGTGAAATCCATTAGGGAGGGCAGGAGCTGTGTGCCTGAGTTCAAATCTGGGCTCTAGTATGTGCTACTTCTGTGGCCTCAGTTTCTGCTCTGTAAAATAGGATGATAACAGAACCCCCCCCCCATGGGGGTGTTATAAGAATAAATGGCTTATTATAGCCCTAGTTCTTAGAACATTTTAGCTGTGGGTTTATGCTTTGTTTTAGTCCCAGGGGGATTTAGGCACAGGACATACTCTAAAAATGTGAGCTTGGAGCTGAGTATTATAATTCCTGGCATGCCATGAACCTTTCTTCCTGAACAGAGACCTGCTGGGAACTAGAGGTGGAGTTCAGCAGCCATGCTTGACTTGTAACTGAACGTGTGAGTGCCCTTACTCTCCCTTTTCTAGCTCTGACTTGCACTGTGAGCTCAGATGGCACTGCTGGTAGGAAGTATCAGCCAATAAATCTTCTCTTTCTTCTCATTACCCTTGTAAGTAAATCTTTTGTTAATTTCTCACTGTTAAAAAAAAAAAGAAAAGAAAACTGATATCCACCTCTGAACACTAAAGGAATTATCATGGTCAAAAAAAAAATAAAAATAAAAAAAAATTTTAAAAATAAAAATGTGAGCTTGACTTGTAGGCAGACAAACTGTTAAACAGGAGAAAAATTTTCCAAGTAGAAAAATTGCTTTAGCTCCTGGGCATGCTTGGACCCCATTCAATGTCAATGAGGTCCACAAAGAGTGACCCTCGGAATGTAGCTTTTAGAAAGAAATCTCCCCAATAGTGTGTGTGTGTGAGTGGGTGGTAACTAATCCTTTGAGGCTGTGACCTGGTCTGTTTAATCCATTTGGGACTTGGGCCTTTTCCATTTAGCCTCTCCATAGGAGTCAGCTGACCCCAGGTCTGATCTGGGAAAGGTCTGAGGCCATAAGTCCCTGCCCTGTTGTTCCAGTCAGATGGGGTGCTCCTGACTTTGCAATGTGATGTGAAAGGCACCAGCATCCCACAGAGCTGAGGAGTAAGGGCCTGCGCTGAGTTTGGGTCTTTTTCTTTGTGCTTGGATGACATGATGTTACCCTGCTGACTGGCTCTGCAGAAAGGCCCAGCTGACTAATTTTAAAGGCTCTTTTGAGGAGGGAGGAAAAAGTGGCAGTGCTGTATTTCTCAAGGGGCTCTCTAAGATACTCCTTTTACAAAGATGGTCCTGTTAACCCTCCTGGTCTTGTACCTAGTGGGAAGGGGGTGATGGAGGGCAGGTGAAGGCTGAACTGGCTCCAGTGCTGCCTCTGTGTCCTCATTTGCAAAATAAGAGGCTCATGTAGAGGACCTCGGAGGGCCAGACTCCTTGCCCCCAGCTGACAGGTGCAGTGGCAAAAGTGCTGGCTTGACAGGGGCCTGCTGTGCTGGCGTGGAGGCTGACTTTGAGCTCAGAAGCACCTATGGGTTCCCCTTCGTGATCCATGAGGGTCCCTGCCTTTATGTTACTTGGAGTCTAGGGTAGGGGGTCTCAGATTAGTTACAGTCTCACATAGTGGCTGCTACAGTGGGGGTACCCTAGAGTGCTGTAAGATTATGTCTAAGGTCCCCCATGTTTGGTTCCTGGGGAGTTTCTAGAGTGGGGGTGACTTCTAATCTGAGACCTGAGGATTGGGTATAAGAGACACAAATTGGGATGGTATGGCACTGAGAGGAAGGGGAGGAAATTGTGTCCTGAGACAGTGTTTGCAAAAGCCAGAGCTCAGGGTGCTGAGACAGAGGGGCAGAGGCACGGAAAGCCCAGACGCAAATTCAAGGGTACTGGTGATGGCATCTTCTACTTCCTTCTGGTCGCTCTGGCCTGTGGTCTAGTAGCTTCTAAGCCCCAGAACTTGGAATAGAAGGCTTTGGTCAGGGGAGGAGAGAAGGGTGCATAGGAACTTGTTTCCTGTGAAAGTAGCAACCAAATAGCTCCTGGAAAGTGGTGTCGGTGAGTCCTGGCTGTCTGGGGTGGGGTGAACATCCCTGTTCTTCCCAAAGGCCACAGCCCCTCCCATGACTTGCTATTGCAGCCTGTGAGCTGAACCATCTGCTCTGGGAATAAAGTCCACCTCAGACTGTGTTTGCCTCACCTGGGAGCAGTTTCCTGCTTGTTACTAATCTAGCTGTGCTGAGGGGTGCCTGGGCACACTCACCATGGCTCAGCTCTGGGGAATTTCCTGTGTCCTGGGAACCACAGTCAGGTGCTTGTGCCCGGGGGTGGGGGCAGGGGCAGAGGCGGGGAGTAGCGTGGGCTCTCCCTTTGCACCATCTCTTCTGCCTTCCCTCTCATTTCAGGTTCATGGTGAAGCCAGGGGTGACCCAGAGATTTTGCAATCCCAAGGGGGAGTATTACCTGCTGGCGTGTGTGCTGTCTTAGCCTCTAAGGGCCAGAGCTCACCTGTCCTTGTTTGGTGACCCTAGTGCAGGCTCCAACATGCAGGTGTTTGGAAAGCGCTTTTGACAACTCCCATTCTCTTCACTGTATTACTAGTTGATGGAGCCCGACTTGCCCTGTGCCAGGCACCGTGCTCAGAAGTGTGCCTCTAGCAGACCACACAGCCTTGGCAAGGATGGTGGGAACTACGGCCCTGAGCCCCTGACTGCTTCCCCCCCGCAGTGGGGCTGCGCTTGAGTTTCCAACAGAAGGTGCCCCTGACCACGTGCTGGCAGAGATGTTCCCTCTGCTTTTCTGGGGGCTCCAGTTTCTGAGCCCTTCATTGTCTTGGATGTGGTCTGGGAACGACAGAGCAGGGAAGGAAGGTTCCTTGGGCAATCTTGTTGATGCTCATGGACTTGGAGGGAAGGGATCACCTTGGGATTCAGAGTCATTCTTCATTGTGGGAAAATATACATAATGAAAATTTACATGTGAACCGTGTTTAGGGGTGTGGCTCAGTGTCTTTGGTACCGTTCACGCTGTACAACCAGCACCACCATCCATCAATATTTTCTTGCAAAACAGTAACTACCGCTTGCCGCCTCCCCTAGTGCCTGCCAGCCGCCCTTCTGCTTTCTGAGAGGATTCAGAGGTTTGACCCTTTGTCCATTCTGTCACAGAATCTCCCCGCGGTGCCCCTGCCAGGCAGCGATGCCAGGATGCCCGTCTCTGCCTCCCCCTGCCAAAACGGCAGCCAGGAGCGGCCGGTGAGCCTGACCTCCTCCACTTCTTCATCTGGCTCCTCCCGAGACAGCCACAGTGCCATGGAGGAACCCAGCTGCTCTGAGCCTTTGGCGGAGAACGGGGGAGGCTCTCCCCGGAACCGGCACCCCCCCAACAGCAACAACAACTCCAGCAGCTGGCTGAACATGAGGGGTCCCCTCTCCCCCTTCAATGGCCGGGGGGCAGCAGGACCCACGCACAAGCTGAGCTACCTGGGCCGAGTGGTGCGGGAAATCGTGGAGACGGAGCGCATGTACGTGCAGGACCTGCACAGCATCGTGGAGGTGAGGCCCGCCCTGCTGGGGCCTCCAAGCTCAGGTGGTCAGGGGCCTGCCCATCTCTTCCCGGGGCTGACCTCTGGCCTCCAGTCGCCCAGCTCTCTCGCATAAACCTGCTTCAGCCCTGGAAGGACAGTTCCCCTGACACCTTTGTGTCGGATGGTCGACTGCCCTTGCAATCGTGGGGAGACCTTCGTCTCCTGCCTTCCCTGAGGCTGTGGAGGAACCACACTTCCTGTGTCTCTGGGTCAGATCAATAGCTTGGGCACAGGGAAGGCAATGTGAAGATGGAGGCAGAGTCTCTCGGTTAGAAGGCCAAAGTCTAATCGAGATGTCAGCAGGATCGGTTGCTTCTGGAAGCTCTCAGTGGGAGGGTGCGTTCATGCCTCTCCTTGCTTCTGGTGCTTGCTGGCCAGCCTTGGCTGTGGGTGCATCGCCCCGATCTGCCTCCCTCTTCACAGTGCCTGCTGTGTCTCTGTGTACTCTCAGAAGGACACCAGTCATTGGACTTGGGACCGACCCTAATCCACTTTGATGTGGTCTCAAGAGCTCTAAGTGTTTACATCTGTGAAGATCCGCTTTCTAAAAAAGGTCATGCGCTGTGGTTCCCAGTGGACATTCATGGGGGGGGCTCTACCCAACCCAGTGCAGTAGGTGGTATCATCTCTTTGCTGTAAAAAGCAGTGCAGGAAAAAAGATGTGGCTCGAGGAGGTGGGGGGCCACGGCGTCATGTCATGCAGGGCGGGAGGTGGGGTCTGGGCTGAGAGCCTGTCTCCGCGCAGGACTACCTCTTGAAGATCATTGACACGCCTGGACTGCTGAAGCCAGAACAAGTTAGCGCCCTCTTTGGGAACATAGAAAGCATCTATGCACTGAACAGGTATGTGCGTGGGCCCGACGTGCTGCATTGCTGCCTGTGAGGCCCATCGTGGAGCCAGGCAGGTGCTGTGGATGTCCCTGGTCTCGCGCACTATGACGTGTGGGTCCAGGGCCTGCTCTCTGAGGGTGGAAAGGATTTCCACCCCTGTGCAGTGGGTCAGTTAGCTGCCTGCCGGATGGGGGGTGGGGGTGGGGCACCAGCTGGGGCCATGTGTCCCGGGGCTGATGTCCTTCTGCCACTCGTGGGCAATAATGCGAGGCCGTGTGCGTGTTGGGGCCACTCTGGGCCAGTGCCCCCTCAGAGGACCGCTGGACCCTTGCACGTGATGTTCTTCCCTCTGGGTTGCCCCTTTGTCCCTCTTGACTTCTCCACTTGCACATCTCTTAATTTCTTCTCCGCCTTTCCATTGACCCCAGGGGACGTCAGGGCTCCTCAGAGGGGATCCGACCTAGTAGGGGAATGCATAGGCCAGGCAAGAGGTGGTGGAGGAGGCTGAGCAACGCCTGGCGAGGCTCAGAGCAGAATTGCTCCTCGAGGGCCAGAGTGTACTGACCCTGGACCGCAGACTCCCCACGGAGTGGTGCTGACCTGGAGGAGCAGAATTTGAGGGGGTAGTGCCGACAGGATAGGACAGAGCTTATCCCAGCCCCTTAAAATGGGCAGAGGGACTTCCTGTCCCGGCTGTGCTCAATGAAGATGTTGGAGGGGGGGGGCAGGTAGGCTTAGGCAGGATGGGGTGGAGGTCTGGGAAAAGAGGAGGAGCAGGGGGGCACTGTTTCTAGGGTTTCCTATAGTGCCCCAGCTAAGGATGAGGTGTGCTGGGACTCCTCTCTCCCCCACATTCTTCTGAATTGGGGGCCTTGTTTCCTTTTGAGTCCTCACTCTCTTCTTCTCCCCTTAATCTCTGCTTTTGTGTGTTTGACTCCTGCCCACAGAGGAGCCGTGTCCCCTCCCGAGGTGGGTACTGGTGTCCCCCCTCCTTCTCTTGCTTGCCCAGCACGTGGGCCTCCTCTGCTCCCTGTCTTTCTGTGGTTGCTGCCGTGTGCAGGGCTCACGCTGAGGGTGGAAGCCGACCCTAGCATGACACCAGGGCTGCTGTGTGTCTGGGCACCAGGAAGCGGGGACAGGGGCGTGTTGGTGGCTGTGGAAGCTTCAGGCAGTCCGGGGTCTGACCGCCACTCTCCCCTACCCAGCCAGTTACTCAGAGATCTGGACAGCTGCAACAGCGACCCCGTGGCTGTGGCCCACTGCTTTGTCGAAAGGGTAAGAAGGGCTGAGTTCTTGCTCCTTGTCTTCCCTCGTTGGAGACTCAGAGAGACAGGAACCCCCAGCTTAAGAGGACTTCTGGGTCCTGGGGACCTTGCCTTGAAAGGGAATGGGGTCTGGGATGGAGTGAGGGGCTGCAGGCAGGGGGCATGTCCTGCACAGACGGGTAGGAGATGGATCTGCAGGCACGTGGGAAGGTGGGTGTGGGCAGAGTGTGTTCTGGGGTGGGGAGCCTGAGGTTGGTACCCCAGGATCACAGTCACATGGGGGTCTCCTGACAGCACTTTTTGGTCTCTCCTTAGAGCCAAGAGTTTGATATCTACACCCAGTATTGCAATAACTACCCTAAGTGAGTAACTGGATGGAGGGGAGGCAGAGCCACTGGCTGAGTTCGGAGATCCCACTTTCCCAGCCAGGTCTCCCCAGGTGCTGACAGGCCCTTGTCCCCTCCCAGCTCAGTGGCTGCCCTGACGGAGTGCATGCGGGACAAACAGCAGGCCAAGTTCTTCCGGGACCGCCAGGAGCTGCTGCAGCACTCACTGCCGTTGGGGTCCTACCTGCTAAAGCCTGTGCAGCGCATCCTCAAGTACCACCTGCTGCTCCAGGTAACCCAAGGTCATGCCAAGTTGGTGGGGGTGTGGGGGTCAGGCCAGGGCTGTTAAGTTCCTGTCTCCTGCATAGGAAATCGCCAAACATTTTGATGAAGAAGAGGAGGGCTTCGAGGTGGTAGAAGATGCCATCGACACCATGACCTGTGTGGCCTGGTACATCAATGACATGAAGAGGAGGCACGAGCATGCAGTTCGGCTCCAGGTGCCCTGGGCTGGTGGCTGGAGGGACATAAGGGGTCAGGCTGAGCAGGGCATGGGAGGTGGGGGACGTGGCTGCTTTGCTGGTGTGAGCTGTGGGGTCGTGTCTTGTGGGGAGAGAGTCTCTGGGGGGGACCCTGTGGCAGCATGTGTGTGTGGGGACCTAAGTGGTAGCTGGGTCTGTGGAGCTTCTTGGGGCCCAGTAGGGTCATGGACAACCTCACCCTTGGGGTTGGGGCTTCTCTGCTGCAGGAGATTCAGTCCCTGCTTATCAACTGGAAGGGGCCAGACCTGACCATCTATGGGGAGCTCGTCCTGGAGGGCACATTCCGCGTGCATCGCGTGCGCAATGAGAGGACCTTCTTTCTCTTTGACAAAGCACTGCTCATCACCAAGAAGCGGGGCGATCACTTTGTCTACAAGGGTCACATCCCGGTAACGAGGCTGCCGCTGTCTCCTCTGCTGCCTCCCCACCAGCCCTCCAGCCCTCCTGCTTTCTCCCTTCCTTCTCCCATTTCCCAGGGGCCTGGGCTCCTCTCCCTGTCCTCTTCATCAGCCCTGGCTGCTGTGGATACAGCTCCATCCTGAGATTATTCTCCCTGCCTCCCTCGAAAGCTTCAGGGACTGGGGACCCTGTGCCCTAGGTAGTCTGCCCCCCATCTTGTGCTTGACTGCCCTCTCCCTGTGTCCAGTGCTCCTCCCTGATGCTGATTGAGAGCACCAGAGACTCCCTGTGCTTCACCGTCACCCACTACAAGCACAGCAAGCAGCAGTACAATATCCAGGTACAGGTGGGCCGGGCCAAGGAACTGGCTGCGGCCAGAACTTGCCTCCCCAGCTCTCTTAGCTGCGCCAAGCCTCACTGTCTCCCTCTGGAAGGTGGGATCCTTGTGGGCACCTCTTGAGCTTCTCCTGAGGAGTCAAGGAAACCCCAGCACAGCCCTTTTTTCCACCTCTGCCCCCACTTTGTGGCTTCAGGCCTGTGACAATAACCTCCCTCTCCCTTGGCCCACTTAGGCCAGAACAGTGGAGGAGAAACGGAACTGGACTCATCACATCAAGAGGCTCATCCTGGAGAACCACCATACCACCATCCCCCAGAAGGTGAGCTCCCACTGCCCCCACGCCTGGCTTGGCTACCTCTCAGAGCCCTTCTGGGGCCTCAACTTCTGGATGATGTTTCCATTGGACAGCCACGGGCCTCAGTGCAGCACTGTGGGGTATCCCTGTGTGGCAAGAGTGTGTCCTTGGGCCGAGGGAAGTAAAGGACTCACAGCCAGGTACTAACCAGCTGCGTTTCCTTCTCTTCCAGGCCAAGGAAGCCATCTTGGAAATGGATTCTTACTGTAAGTGTATCCTTTCTGCTGATTTATCCTCATTGCGTGCTTTTGTAGGCCAGGCTGCATCTGCGGGAAGCTTTGCCTGATGCTTTTATTCCAGGGTGGGACTCTGTGCCTGCACATTGCAAGATGGAAGAGGAGGAGGGTGCTCCCCTGGAGCTGGGTGGGGGGCAGAGGTGTGGTTGGGTACCGGCACAGAGTCTTGGCCAAGGCTGATGTTATTCCAAAAGCCTGATTGTCTTCCTCCTGGTGCAGATCCCAATCGGTACCGTTATAGTCCAGAGCGGCTGAAGAAAGCCTGGTCCTCACAGGATGAGGTGTCCACCCACGCGCGCCAGGGGCGCCGGCAGTCTGGTAAGCGAAGGGCTGTGTGTGGTATAGAGGGGCCTCTTCAAGGGGCCTTTACTGTATAGGTGGGAACTATACCAGGGGTATAGTAGCAGCAGTACCAGGGGCCAGTTCTTGCCTGTTGGGAAATCCTGGCCAAGGCAGGATGCGGGGTGCACTGGAGGGGTCAGTGGGTATGTGGAGCATCGTCTCTCTGTGCTGGTGCTGCCCCCACCAGGCCCTTCCATGCCCACCGTGGTTGGGCGGGCAGCCCACCTTTCCCAAGACCCGAGGAATGCCGTCCACTCAGGCCTTGGTACCCCTTCTTAACTCCTTCCTGGACACAGTCTGGAATCAGCCAGGAAAAATGCTTGGACATCATGGATGGTCCCCAGCCAGGTTCAGTGGAGCAGAAGGAGGATGTGAGGAAAACAAGTTAGACTTCAAGTGGCACCAAATCCAGACGGGAAATATTTACTTTGGGTCTCAGGGAAAAATTCCGTTTTCCGCTCCTGGGTTGTTTTCTTCCATGACTGGCCTTGCTGCCATGGCCTTAGTGGAATGAATCGTCTATTTAAAAAGAGAAAACCTTGAGTCTCTTCTTAGCTCCCGTGGTATTGCGTGTGTGTTTCTGTGTCTGTTTTCACTCTGCCCATCAGTCTGGGGCCCAGGGGCAGATTGGACTCCAGCAGGCTATCTGTCAAACTCAGGCACCAGGTGGGAGCTGGGGTCAGAGCTACCTCAGAGGCCCCGGGAGAGACAGGGAGCACTGTCCTGGCTGGGATCTCTGAGGTGCACTGGGCTATGATGGGCTGTGACCGAGGGGGCCCCAACAACTGTGTGGACTGATTAATTGGCTTCGATCTTCTAGAAGATCGTTCTTATGGTTTTGTTTTGTTTGGTAAGGCTCCTGATAGATCTCGAGTCCTACGCGGACTTGCCGTGGTTGCAGAAATTTTATGGGGCCAGTGTTAAAAGCCTAATAAGTAGGGGGTGTTCTTTTATAAGTCTGTGGTTTTTTTTCTTTTCCTTGCTTCTCCTTTCTCTTCTGGTGCCGCCAGCCCTCCCCATCAACTCGCATAGCTTTGAGTCAGAAGCTGCTGGCACACGGATGTGTCTAGTAAGTGCCGGCCGTGGTGCCGGTGGTAGCAGCGGTGACAGTGCCTGTCACAGCATCATCTAAACGGTAGCTGTCCAGGCACGTGGGAAGGGAGCTGTTTTAGAGCTACACATTCCATACCGCTAGACCTTAGCCTGCAAACATTAAGAGTTGGGTTTTACTTGTTGTGGTGGTTTTTTTTTTTTAAGTTTTTTTTTTTTTTTTAATAGAGGCATGTTTTATTTATTTATTTATTTATACAAGCACTGGGTACAGTCAGAAGTGCGGGAGGGTGAGAGAATTCACCAGAGCCAGAGCGGGGAGCAGAGCAGGCAGAAGGACCGAAGGACACTGCTGAGGGGAGCAGCGGGCAGCAGGAGAGGTCTGCGCGCCATGCTGGACTCTCCTCTGGTGGCCGGGGAGCAGCCAGGGATCGAACCGGTGCCGCAGAGGCCGTGGGCAGCTTCGCAACCCAGCGCTCAACCGCTGCGCCACCCGGGAGGCCCTTGTTTTTGTGTTTTAGCTGTAACCATTATGAAACAGATATCTTTCTAAAAATGCTTAAATTCTTGAGCCTTTTTAAGGTAGAGGATGTTGACGACAGTGCACCTTTTCCTTTCCCGGCCTGGGTGCAGTGGCGTCACTGTATGCGGGGACAGCCTCCTTGCTCGAGGCTCCAGGGCCCCCAAGGGCAGGTAGGATGGTGGTTGCCATAGAGACAGCTAGCATTTGAGGTGTGTGTCCATCTTTACATGGCAAAGTGTTACTCTCATCTGCCCCAGCACGCTTGCCTGTAGCAGCCCTCCTTGCCGTCTTCTGTTTGCTAGAAGTCAGTTGGTTAAACTTCTGAGAAGCATGTGTCAAAGCAGGCCAGGAAGTCACTGGAGGGAGGATGGGCCAGTGCAGGTCCTCTTCTCTGATGGCCTCTGGGCCTTCTCTGCCGCCTCCTTCCAGAAAGCTGAGATGGGCAGATAAGGACACTATGTGGATAAGTAAGGCACTGTTGTCATCACTTGTCGCTTGTTTAATATTCTGGATTACACGTCTTGAAATGAAATGAAAGAATAGAGCATTTTATGTTTAATGAAAGAATAGAGCATTTTATGTTTCTCATTTAAAAAACTGGATGTTCACTTAAGTGTGCACAGAGAGTACGAGCACACTGGAGTGTGCACTGCTCGGGGAACAAAGTTCTGTAACATGCTGTCCTGCCCAGGAACAGGAGTTTCCTTCTGACGCCACGTTTATAGTGGTCTCCCCCTTAGGGACAAGGTTGGCTCCCCCTTAGGGACAAGACACGTCCCTTGAGGCAGTGTCCTCTCACCTGCCTGTTTGTCTCAGGTCTGTCTCTGAAAGGGCTGGGGTACAAGGTGGTGACACCGTCGGCCTAACGGATGTGTTTTTTATCCCGTCCCCAGAGCCTGGCCAGTCCCTGCACAGCCGGGTAACACTCCCCAGCGGGCAGCGAGGCTTCATGGTGCCAGGCCTTAAGGGCCGTAGAAAGTCGGGTGCGACCTCTGCTTTCCAGCCTGGGCGCTGTGAGGGGCTTGGTGTTGGGCGCAGCTAATGTGCTGAAGTGCTCCTTTCAGGGAGGGGGTAGCCTGCTTGAGATGCAGCCAGGGCCCTCTGGAGCCATGGCTGGTCTGGTCGGTGGGATGGGTACAGAGTGGGTTGTGGCTCCAGAACTGAAGAAGGCAGGGGTGGGCTGACGCAGGGGTGTGGGCAGAGCTGCTCCTGGGGGCTGCTGGTTCTTGAGGCCCCTGGGGCAGGGTGGGAGTGGCCTCACTCAGGCCCTCCAGCTGTGCGGCTCCAAGCCAGAGTGGACTTTGAGCTGGTGATGGGCCGGTGGTTCTGTGAGCATGGGGCCTGCACGGCTGTTTTCAGACCTGCTCTCACTCTCTAATTTCTTTGTTCCTCAGAGCCCACCAGACACTTGCTGAGGCAACTCAGTGAGAAAGGTGAGTGTAGGAGGGGTGGGCGGGAAGTGAAAAAGGTAACACGTGGGTGGGGTGTAGAGGACAGTTTTAAGGGGGGGCTCTGCCTCTGTTCCTCCCTTGAATGCACTTCACCCCATGCGGTCTGGGTAGAGGGTTTGAGGCCCCCCACCCTGCACACACCTTGTACCTGGTATTCAGTAACAGCAGGAGCAATCAGGCCTATGCCATTCTGTATCGCCCCACCCCAGGAGGCTGGGGTGAAGGTCCTGGGATTTAGGGCCCCTGGTGAGACCTTCCCCAAGGGCCTCTGGGCTCTTTCTCTGGCTTATGAATCTCCCCTCTTCTCCTCCCCAACCCCTCTCCACCCCATTGTCCATGCTGGGACCCTTCGGTGGCTGCAGCAACCAGAGCAGCAGGAATGAAGGTAAGGCCAGTGGGCGGAGGATACTGACCGTGCAGAGGTGGGTGGGACCTCCCGGCCAGCCCCCTGAGCGCTCATTATCTTTAGTCATTCAGCAAATACCTGTCAGTCACCTGCTGTGTGCCAGGCCCTGTGTCATGAGGGTCACAGAGATGAATCAGCCATGGCCCTTGTCCCGGGGGCCCCTCCTTACCCTTTTCCTGGATGGCACCCTGGTAGTGAGTGGCCTGCCCAGTCTAGAATCTCTCATTTTTCCCTCTGGGGCAGGCAGGCCTCTCTCGGTCTTGAGTTCCTAGCCAGGTGCTGGTCCTAGCTTCCCACCTGAGACCTGCCCTGTCCTTCCCTGCACTCCCCACCCCCTTACCCTCACTGGACCCCGTGGACACCAGGGACGGGTGACTACGTGTGACTTTCTCTGTGAAACCTCCCCACCCCACTGACCACTACCAGGAGGAGGGGAGGTTGCCCAGAGGCCCGTCACAGTGGTCTTGTGCTCTTGGACAGCATGCGGGCAGTGCCGGCACTCTCCTGGACTTTGGGCAGCACCCCCATACTCCGGGCCTGCAGTCGGAAGCTGAGGGGGCTGCCCAGGAGGAGCAGGAGGAGGAGGAGGAGGAGGAGGAGGTGGTGGAGGAGGAGGAGGAGGAAGAGCAGGCCTTTCAGGTCTCTCTGGAGGCCCTGGCAGGGCATGAAGGCAGCAAGAAGGGGCCTGGGCCGGAGCCCCCAGGCTCAGAGGAGGAGGAGGAGGAGGAGAGCCTGGCAGTGGCGGAGCAGGTAGCCGACTTTGCCAGCTCCCTGCTGGCCGCCCTCCACTGCTGGCACTATCGGGCCAACGCTTTACTTTTCTCCCGGGGCGCTATGGTGAGGTGTCTCTTTGATCTCCCCTCCTCCTTGCATGTTCCCTGGCACGTGCATGCCCATCCAAGAGGCCCCTTCCTGCCCCTCTCCCCGCCCCTGTTCTTGTCTTTTACTCCTGCCATCAGCACTTCTTAACCCCTCGCTCGCTTTCACGCCCTAGTGAGTCCCTGGCATGTGCGGTTCCAGTACTGGGCGCTAACCAATGTACTACCCAAATAGCATGACTAGTGGGGTGGGGGCTGTGGGGCAGGGGAGGAGCCGGTAAGGGGTAGGAGACGGTGGGAGGGGGGCAGGAGGAGGGTCTGGTGGGTTGGCTTGTCCAAGGCTGCATGCCTGACAGGGGTTTCTGGGCCCCCTGCAGTCCATGTGGACTGTGGAATGGCTCCGGGCCAAGGTTGGCTCTCAGTGCACCCCAGCCCCCTCAGGGCTCAGTAGGTGCTACCTGTGTGGGGACCCAGAAGGCACCAGTTCCCAGTTGGCCTGGGATCTGACTTAGGCCCTCTGCTTGCTGCAGGGGAAGGGGCGCAGGGAGTCTGAAGGCCCCAAGAGCTGCCGAAGGCCCAGCGGCCGGTCTCCGACCACCAGTGCTGAGAAGCGCATGAGCGTAGAGTCTGTCTCTTCCCTGCCGGAGGTGAGTAGCCTGTAGTCAGAAGGGGGATACTATAGGGGTACCTGGAACCCAGTTCTCCAGGCCTGCAGGTGGGGCTTTCAAGTATGGTATCTCCCATTGGGCCCATGGGAGCAGGGATTCCCTATTGCCCAGGGCTCTCAGCCCTTCAGGAAGTCTGTCTGGCCCGTGGGCGTGCATGGCTTGGTGAATAGACAGCATCTTCCCTGACTTAGAAACAGGGGTGCAGTGGAAGTGACTCATATTTTGGCCAGGCTGCCTTGTCAGCAGGCCAGACATTTAAATTGTGCCTGTGCCCACCTGGACAGAGGGGAGGGCATTGATGCCTAGCAGACGCCATCGCTGTGTCGAATTTTTTCTTCTTTCTCCTGTTCCCTATAATAGTTATAGAAGGGAGAAGGAGGCTCAGCGAGGTCAGGTGGTAGTGCCAGACTCTGGGCATCTTCTGAGGGGCAGAGCTGAGATCAGACTTGGGTCCATGAGTCAGAAGCCCACGCACCTCTACCTGCCACCCTGTGGGTCAGGTGAATGGAGTCCTTTGCTTTCCTGGAGTTACAAGGAGAAGGTAATGAGGCCTAGACCTCAGGGTGGGCCCCGGCCAGGACAAGACTGAGAAACTTGGATGGCATTGAGAATAGAAGGCAAGGCACATGTGTAATTTCAAATTTGCTTATAGCCATGTTAAAAATGATTTAACCCAATATATCCAAATGTATCATTTCAATATGTAATCAATGTTACAAACTATTAATCAGATACTTGGAACGAGTCTTTCTAATCTGCTGTGTATTTGCCCTTACAGCAGTTCTCAGTTTGACCTGGGCACATTTTGGGTGCTCGCAAGCCAGTGGTGGCTGGTGTGTTGGCCAGTGCAGGTCTAGATTATGGGTCCTCCTGTGCATAGTCTGGACTAAAACAAATAGAATCAGGCCTGATTGCTTAAGAGTATTTGATCATCTCCCAAAAAAACTCTGGAAAGCTGCCCATGCCAGCCCCTTTCATGGTTCAGATGATTTTAAGGTGGTCAAGAGGGAATTCTCAAATTCACTTCTTTCCTTGTGCATCTGCTTGGGCATTTGCACGCATGGTCACGGAGGCGGACTGCCCGGGCAGACTCCCAGGCCTCACTGAGAGGATTCTAGAACATGGTCCTGGGGCCCCTGGACCTGACCCACATGGGAAGTTGGAATGGCCTCTCCTGTGGCTCAGACCTGGGCTTGAACACAGAACAGCCTCACGGGGGAAGCCTCCAGGGCTTTAGGGAACTGCCTGCCATCGGCAGGGAGACCTGTGTCATGCCTCTGGCCCTGTGTTGCGTGTTCCTGCCTGTTCCTGTAGTTCCTATACAGGTTGCCCCTGAGCCCTGAGCAGTGACCTCTCTCCACCCCATTTATGTTCCGAGGATTCTCCCTGGGTCTGAGGACGTGGGCACCCAGCTTCAGGTTGACTAAAGGGACCCTGTTGCATTCCTCTCCTTAAGCACCTGTGGCCCCTCTCTTAAGTCAGCTTGTGCTGACTGCTGGGGGCCCTGAACTGCAGCCCTTCCCTGGTGTCCCTCATGCCTCGGGTCGCATGAGGGAGGGTTTGGCTCACACAAGCTGTCTTGCTACCCAGGCTGACCCTGACCCAGAGCCCTGGACAGAGCGAGAAGTGTTTGCCGCCGTGGAAGGTGCCAGCACTGAAGAGATGCCCTCAGACACAGAGTCTCCTGGAGTCCTAGAAGCACAGCTTGATGTTCACCAGGGGCTTTTGGGGCTGGACCACCCGGGTGACATGGCGGACTTCATGGTGGCTGAGAGCACTGAGGATCTTAAGCCTCTGAGCAGTGAGGAGGAGGAGGAGGAAATCGGGGCCACTCAGGAGCCCGAGAGCCTGCTGCCACCCTCTGTGCTGGACCAGGCCAGTGTCATTGCTGAGCGGTTCGTCAGCACCCTTTCTCGGCGGAGCAGCCTGGCGCTGGAGGATGGCAAGTCCAGTGGCTTTGGGACCCCAAGGCTGAGCAGCCGGAGCAGCAGTGTGGTCAGCCTGGAAGGCAGCGAGAAGGGCCTGGCCCCGCGTGGGGGCACCACAGAGTCCCTCAGCTCTCAGCTCCCCCCAGAAGTGGACATGACTATGGCGGAGGCCACAGAGAATGGCTCTTCTGTCAATGGAACAGAACCCCCAAGCCCAGGCTGCCCAGTGGAGCCCGACAGGTCTTCTTGCAAGAAGAAGGAGTCGATGCTGTCCACCCGAGACCGGCTGTTGCTGGACAAAATCAAGAGCTACTATGAAAATGCAGAGCACCACGATGCGGGCTTTAGTGTCCGGCGCCGGGAGAGCCTTTCCTACATCCCCAAAGGGCTGGTGAGAAACTCCGTGTCCAGGTTCAACAACCTTCCCAGGCCAGATCCAGAGCCAAGAGCTCCGCTGGGGCCCAAGAGGCAGGTTGGCTCCCGGCCGGCTTCCTGGGCCCTGTTTGATCTTCCAGGACCAGATCAGGCAGGGCCTGAGGACCCCGCTCCTATCACTGATGCTGAGTTCCGCCCCTCTTCGGAAATTGTGAAGATCTGGGAGGGGATGGAATCTTCCACTGGGAGCCCTCGCAAGGGGCCAGGCCAAGGCCAGTCCAATGGTTTTGATATGCATGAGCCACTCTTCATCCTAGAGGAGCATGAGCTGGGAGCCATCACCGAGGAGTCAGCCACGGCCTCTCCGGAGAGTACTTCCCCCACCGAGAGGCCTAGTCCGGCCTGCCTGGCCCGGGAGCTGAAGGAGCTGGTAAAAGAGCTGAGCAGCAGCGCCCAGGGGGAGCTGGTGACTCCACTGCACCCCCGGATTGTGCAGCTCTCCCACATGATAGATGGCCACGTGAGTGAGCGAGTCAAGAACAAGGTTTACCAGCTGGCCCGCCAGTACAGCCTCAGGATCAAGAGCAAGTCAGCGCCAGCCAGGCCGCCGCTGCAGTGGCAAAAGGTTTCTCCTGAAAGGGATGGGAAGAGTGCCTCCGCCCCGCACCTGCAGGAGGAAGCTGGAGCACCGGGGGACAAAGGTACAATGATGGGAGCGGGAGGAGGCCCTGCCCACAAGTCAGGGGATGGAAGACCCTTTAAAGAGCCACCTGATTCCTGGGGAGAGTGACCCCTAAAGAGCCTCTACCAAAGAGAAGGCTAGACCCCTCCCCAAAGGGCCAAGCCCCATAATAGGCCAAGCCTGCAACCCTGGTAAACGCCTTCCACTGCCCTCCCCAGCCCTTTCTATGGAGCAGAGACCTGTGAGGAAATGAGGCCATGACTCCCTCTTTTCAGAGAGCAGAAGCTGTCATCTTTTCCTTTGATTCCTCACCTCTTTTCTCCATTCTTCCTGTTTCTTCCTTCATTCTTCCTATAAAGGGCCATGCGTAGTAAATGAGATTTCTCATTTTGAAGATTTTCTCTTCTGTAACACCCCACACCCTCACAGCCAGCCTTGCCTGGACAGTGGGTTGAAGGCACTTCAGAGCCCTCCTCTCTCCCCTCCTGCCCAGGACTCAGGCTGCACTCTCTCCTCACAGGTAGGAGAAAGCCAGTGCTGTCCCTCCTCAGCTATGAGCAGCTGGTGGCCCAGGAGCACAGCCTTCCCAAGTCCTGCTCTGCTGGTGAGATGTCACCCCGCCGTTTCTCCTTCAGTCCTTCTGCTGCAAGCCCAAGGACCCCCTCGCCTGGAGTCCGGCCCTCCACCCGAAGCCCCCTTAGTCCCTTGGACACCGAGACCTTCAACTGGCCTGATGTCCGAGAGCTGTGCTCAAAGTACACCTCCCACGACGAGGCGCTCCAGGCTGAGGGTAGCCGGCCCCGAGCCCCGCCTGTCAACCGGAGCCGCTCGGCGCCGGAGAACGTGGTGGAGCCGCCTCCGTTGGGCAGGGTGGGCCGCTGCTGCAGCCTGAGCACCAAGAGGGGCCAGGCAGGCCTGGAGGCGCCCCAGCCTCAGCCTTCTGGGGAGTTACCCCAAGGCGTGCCTAACGGAGAGGAGGACCTGTATGTCACTGCTGACCTCACCCTGGAGGACAACCGGAGGGTGATTGTCATAGAGAAGGGGCCCCTGCCAGGCCCTGCAGCGGGGCAGGGGAGGGTAGCAGGCAGGGACCAAGTTTGTCTGTGGCCATGCAGGGGCCGGGCGAGGATCTCCAGGAGTCTGCAGAGTATCTGCCGAAGGAAGAGGCCCCCAAGGACCAAGTGGACCCAAGCCACCAGGGTAGGGTGAGAAACCTGAGGGAGAAATTCCAGGCCTTGAACTCCGTAGGCTGATGCAGCCCTAGGGTAGGAGGTGCAGTCTGTGGTGTGGGGAGGAAGCTTGGCTTATTTGCCTCAAGCCTGTGCTCACCCTGCTCACAGAAGCTCCACCCAGGGCCCTTGAAGACTCTCACCTCTGTTTCCCCCTGAAGAAGGTTCTGGTGTACTGGGCAAGGGTCTTCACCTGCTGCCTGTGAGAACGCTGGTGCTCCCCTGGGTTCAAGGTGACTTTCCACCAGCCCGCCCCTCTGAGGCCAGCGTGGCCGCTTTCCTTGTATATAGTTCTCTGGTAAGAAGCCAAATATTTAAGCTCACCTCTTCCCAGGGAGAGCAAGCCCGGCTCCAGCGTGGGCTGGCCACTGCCAGACTGAGGAGCCCACCCCAGGGAGATGCAGGAAGGTGACCTGGGGAGGCTTTGCTTTTTAACTGCCTTTTCTTAGGCTCCAGGCAGAAATGAGGCCCATAATTTATTGCTTTCCATGCTGTGGTATGTTTGTGTGTTGTGTGTTTTTGTTGTTGATTCCCTTCCTGTGAAGAATGTAATGGACTCTGTTCAGGTACTTTTGTGGGTTGCCTCCCTGACCCTGTGGTTGTCGCTAATGTACACACATTTCATTATTTGCCAATGGTGCAATAACCAGTGCTGACCAAACGACCTGTGTGTGGCCTCCTTACTGGGCCTGGCTGGGTGGGAAGGTGGATCACAGCCAGGGATGTCTTGGCGGAGATGGGACGTGGGGGTCGTGGAGGCCCTAGGGGGCTCCTGAGAGCCTAGGGCAGCACGGGGTGTGGAGGGAAATTCTGCCAAATTCTACCAACTGCTCCATGGAATTCTGTCCATCCCCAGCCTGGCATCCTGTCCCTGAGCCAGCTTTTGGTTTTTTGCCCCAAAGGCCAAAGTCAGACTGAAAAAGGCGGGGGAGCGGGACTAGAACATTTTTCTAATAAGCTGAAGTTTCCAGTATCAGGTGCCTTTTACTTCTCACCCGCTCTCTTTTTCAGGAGACATCCTAACAGGTAAGGATTTCAAATCTGGAACCTAAAAATGCCTTAAGGTGGCTTCCAACATTGGGTGAGGGCAGAAGTGCATTTTTTTTCTGGAATAGATTGTTTTCCTCCCATCCTCCAAAGTGTCTGATTCCAAGAGGCTAGGAACACCTCCTTATTTCTAATTGCATTTATTTTGCCCCTTCTCCATGGTGTACTGGCCTCGTTTTGTCCTGTTTCTTCTGGCTGGCATCTGGGAGGGGGGCTGGGGAGCCCAGGAGGTAGACCCGCCCTACAAGTGTCCGCGTGTCTGCCGGGTCAGGCCCCGCAAGTCTGACCTGGGGGGACTCGAGCTGAAGGTGGAGCTGCCGAGTCTAGCAGAGGGGAGAGGGGGGGCAGCCGAGGCGCTCCCAGGGGAAGCAGACGGGGAGCTGGCTCGTGTTCCTCAGCTGTGCCGGGCTCACATCCACAGTCGCGGGCGAGAGCTGCTCCACCAGGCAAGTGACACTAAGTGGTCGTAATGGCGTGGGCTGGGTCCCTAGCTGGGAAACCTAGACTGTTTTTTCCTCAGCTGAAAATTGAAGGAGATGGATGAGTCACTGCTTCTCAAACTTCCTGACTCAGAGTCTTCAGGGGCCGTTGTAGCTAACGCCACTTTCCCCAGGTGAGCCTCACACACCACTATGCATGTCTGGGCCCCTGGGCCAGCTCAGTGGTTCTCATGGGGTGTTCATTAGCGTCACCGGAGGGGGGTCTTTTAAAACTGGTGATGCCTAGGTCCCCTCCATCCACACCAATTGACATCACCCCACTGGAGCAGAGTACCCGGCGTGGGAATTCTGGTGGTTCTGAAGTTCAGGCAGGGTGAGTTCTCTGTCCTGAACCCCATGGACAAATGCCTGCAGCAGGCCCTCAGGATAGAGGGATGCAGGAACAAGACTTTCTCAGGGTCTTGGGTGAGGAGGTATGGGGCCAGGAGCTGTCAGAGTTGTCCCATAAGACTCCTGGGGTCAGGTCAGGGTATGGCTCCCTCTTGACCTATGATGGTCCGCGACCCTGCCCTCTTGGCCCCATTCAAAGGAAAACAAGGCTAGAGAAGTGAAAAACAGAAATATAGAGCATTAATTGATTTATTAGAAAAACTAGTAAATGGGTTTCCTCTGGTTGGTGGAAGCACATTTGAGCAGGTAGAGGACAAGGCCCAGCCGGCCCCGGGGCCAGCCCCAGATTGCATGGTCTGTGCCCAACAGGGCTGCAGTCCTCTGCAGCCACCTCCTCTCTTGTGTCCTCCCTGAGCTTGCTTGTCCAAGGGACTGAGCCATATAGCCCTCTGGATCTCTGCCCCGCCAATGCTGAAGGGCCAGGACCAGCTTCGGGGACCCTAGTTGCCCTCCAGGAGGCAGGAAGGAGTAGTATATGGGGAAGCTGAGCCTTCCACAAGCCCCCTGCTATGGGGACTTGGGGGAGGGAAGCCCAAGGACACCCACCCAGACTCAGTTGAGGCCTGGGCATGAGGGGAGGGAGAGGGAAGGAGGACCACCCGGCCGTGCCCAGAAGGAGCTTCCTCCAACCGCCCCTGGGAGGAAGCCTCGTATGCTGGTGTGGACTGGAGCTGCGGCAGCCTAGTTGGGGGTACTGTTAAAAGGCTGCAAAGTAGAAAATGTAAGGAGGAAAATAAGAAACCTTGCGGGGGCACTGGGAGGCTTGGACCCAGTGTGGCGTAGGCGCCTCCCAAAGCTGGGAGCCTGCAGTTTGTCCATCTGGTTGAGTGTCTTGGGGCCTGTGAAGGAGGGGTGCACGGGGAGCTGGCAATAGACAGTGGGTCACATGCAGCCGGCTGCCCTTGCCCAGTCTGGGGGGCTTGGGTGGTGAGAGTCTAGCTCTTTGGGTCCCTTTCATTCTTGGGTGTGTGGAGCTGCTTGCTGGAAATTCCTCACCTTAGGTGCTACTTTGGCACACGTGGAGGGGAGAGGGTGACCCTTGGCTCCCTAAGGACTGGCCAGGGCAATAGTTGAGGGAGACTCTTGCCACCATCTGCTCTCAGTAAGGAACTTGCTCTCCGCCTGGGAGCAGGATGTGCCCTCGGACGCACCAGAGGCCTTCATAGTGCCAGGTGAGTATAGTCGGCACGCTGCCTCCTGCCTTGATTTCCCCAGGTGTAGAAAGAGGCTGGTGAACAGTAGCTATTCCCTGTAGATGCAAAGAGGGCTGCAGGGTTAGAGGCCAAATAAAGACCCTTGCTAGAGAGGGGGGAAGTCAGGCTCCATAGGAGAACTTCACCCTGTGATTCTTGTCTGCTGAAGTTGGCTGTACTGAGGGGCTTCTGGGAAGACCTAGTCACTGAATGCCTTACTCTCCCCCCACAGCCCCCCCTCCCTCCATTCCTACCTGAGCCTCATTCATTTCCAGGGAATTATCTTAGTGTGTTGAAGGCTCCTTCCTGTAGGGAAGGTGATGGAAACAAATTGCAGGCCCCTGGGGAAACGCCTGCTGCCCGCCCGCTTCAGCCCTCTTTTGAACTTAACCCCAGTTAAGATGCCGGGCTCGAGTTGTATTGCTTTCAGAAGTAGTGGGGAAACCTGTGGATGGGTGGGCTCCTCCCAGCAGCACAGGGAAGTCTCCCTCGGGACGGAGGCGGCACGGCCCCTTTTGGTTGAGTTAGGGATGCTGGGGGATGTTTGGTGACTGGTACCCAAGGCCAGGAACTTCAAGAGACGCTGATCAGGGGTCCAGCCTTCAAGACTCTGGCCCTAGCACTGACCCAGGTGTGAGCCATGTTTGCCACCTCAGGGTGACAGGTCGCAGACTTGGCTGTCTGTCTAGCCACTGCCCTCAGATGGGACCAGCTGCAGACAGGGCACCACTGGCCATTTGGCTTCGGGATGCTCTACTCCAGGTGTATCTGGGGACCTGCATCATCTCCCTAAGAGGCCCTGGGTGTGAGGTGGATATTGCTGGTTTGGCAGCTACGGGGAGTGGGGGAGGATTCCAGATTGGAGAGGCAGAGCCTTGGGCAGTGTGGAGACCTACCTACCTCCTTCAGTCAGGCCTGAGCCATAAGTTCTAACTGTAATTTTAAAAGTGGACCAGCTTGAGAGCTCAAGAGTCCTCCTACCACCTATGGTGGTAGTAAAGGTTGGTGGAGGTGGCAGGCGGCCAAGTAGAACCCACAGACCTGGAGGGGGCCCTCCCCCTTTTAGGTGAAAGGACAGCGGGAGGGATGTGGTGGCCCCTGAGGTGAGTCCCTGTTCTAAGGAAGCCCAGGGGAGAGGGGTACCTGAGGGGTCCCAAGCAGGCCTTGCCCAGAGCAAGGGCTTTATGGGCCTCCTGAAGGCCCCTCATGCCCCTCAGGATGGGCCAGACTCCTCCAACATCTCTTCCCTTCCCCAAGCTGCAACCATGGGGGAGGCCAGCCCAACCCACAGGGGGTGGCCATTAGAGGAACCTCACAAACCTTCTCCAGCTTTCTGAGACTTGGGGGGTTGGCGTGCCCTCAGCCCCGGGGGAGGCCATGTACCTAGGAGAACCGTTTCCATTCCCGTCCTGGCGCTGGGAGCCACTGTCCCTGGAGCTCCGAGCTCCCTCTGCGGGAGAGCCAGGGCTGCACAGCGGTGAAGGGCGCGGAGGCAGGTGTCGGGCCAGGTCCCGGGCGGGCAAAGGCAGCTATTGCAGTGCAGCGTGGGCCCCAGGGCCCGACCCGACAACACAGAGCAGGCAGGCGGCAGGCAGTGGGCAGCCTGGGAGGTGGGCAGGAGGAGGACCAGGCTGGTCCCTTCCAGGATGGGCGGCATTTGTCCCTGTGGCACCCACCACCAGGCCCCACCCGTGGGGCGCCACTAGAGGCTACTTCTTCTTGGGGAAGAAGCTGAATCTCTTCTCTTTGTCTTTCTTGCCAAGGCTGGCATCCGGGCCCGTGATGGAGGGCAGGGGCAGGCTCTGCGCCTTGACGCGAATGCTCTGGGACTCGTTGATGGCGGTGCTCACGCCCTGCAGCCACGACAGCATCTCCTCCTGCAGGGCGGAAGGGTCAGGGCCCCACATGTCCTGCCTCCCACCCACCCTAGGACTGCCCAATCTGAGGGGACCTGAGGTCGGTGGCTAGGGTCTCCCCCAACCGCCCCTTTGTTGGCAGGCGAAGCGGCCCTGCACTCACCTCATCCTTGCCGTGGAAGAGCCACTCACTGCCGTTGCTCAGCCTAGGAGGACAGGGGTTTCCTGACATGGGACTGGTCTGGAGCCCTGTCCCTGGGCAGGGGGCTGCTCCAGCCCCAAAGCCCCCTATGCCTCCCCCTGACCACAGCCCTCTCAGGTAGCACACATGAGAGAGAGGTACAGATTTGGAACATTGGCCTCATTGAAAAATTCCCATGGGGCAACTCAGGCCTGGAGCTGGTCCCAGACAGTGGGCCTGTGTCTGGTCACGCATGGTGCCAGGGCAGCGGCAGCAGGCGCCTCACCTCAGCTTGAACACGTGCTTCTTCTTCTTGTAGTTGGCAGCAACCTCACAGATGGCATGTCTCAGGGCCAGGGGCTCCTCCCCATGGTAGGGAACCCCTAGTGCCAGGTTCTTGGCGTCCTTGTAGAAGGTCAGCTGGCTGTTTCTGAGCACACAGTACAAGTTGTTCCAGGACCTGCAAAGAGGCAGACAGGCAGGTCACCCGGGCTTGATCCAGCACCTTTATAAGCAAATCTTTACCTTTTTGAATTACACTCTCTTTGCCTGGATAAATAGCAACACATTTTACCATTTGAGAAAATGGAATAAACTTGTCTGCATGTAATTCAACCACCCAAAGCTAACTATTATTAACATTTTATTTCTAGTCTTTTTTTCTGTTCAGATACTTGTTTTCTATGTACATATTGCTAAAATTGGATTATACTGTGTATTCAATTTTGGGTCCTGCTTTTAAGTTGGCCCCCATCAGTAGTATGTTCCCATATTCTCAAATTATTTCTTGAAAATAATTCCAAACAGCGATATAAAAATAATCCCTTTATAATGGGTCTTATAATACTAGAAAATATCTACAGTGGAGTGATTTGATAAACATTCTTGTGCATTAATCTTTGCCTCTAATGTTGATCTTACCTTGAGATAGAATTATTTTAGTGTAAAAATAATTTAGTCTAAACCGATGACTGTAACCCTGGGGGATTAGACTTAAAGATTAGACTTAGATTACATTTAGACTAAAATAATTATTTTTAAACTAAATAATTATTTTAGTCTAAAACCAAGTGTAAGCTTTTCAAAGTATCCCCGCACCCATCAGTGTCTGCTGGTCTCTGCAGCACTGTAACTGGAGCAGGGCTTTGTTTTGGTTATTTGTTTTGTTGATATGTGCTCAGTATATGATACTAGCACTAT